TGTGTAGTCTGGTCGATGTTAACCAACGTTTCAGAGGTCATGCTGCCTCCGTCATCAGGGCGATGAATATTCAAACGTTGGTTAACATCGACCAGACTACACAGCGCAACAACCCAGAAGACGGAAATCTTCAGTACTTGTTTGTCAGTAAGTACATGTCTTTGTATGTGCTGCTTGTTGCAGATGGGGATAGTTTTCATCAGAGGTCTCCAAGTCAAGTCAGTGTTGAAGAAGATGGTTCCACAGACAGTTTTTTAGCAAGCGAAGATATAAGTGATGCTTACAGTCTGGCACGTGATAAAAATTTGATTTCTCGTGCTCTGGAGACAGTAGCCAAGGTTAGCACTTAAATTAACTTACAGATATCAGTCACTGTTGATTTTAGTATCAATATTGAAGGCGTTTGTATTGATATTTAGTTTTTTAAAGATTTCGTGGCCTTTTAAACTTCCATATCCTAAAGAATTTGATGCTATTTCCTTTGCTTGTATTAAAAATTGTCATACCTAACTATAAATTAATGGTAAGTTGTGAAGAATTTTATGCTATCAGGAAAGTTTGTGTCATATTGATAATTCCCACCAGTATATTGCATTACTTTGTTATTGTCAATTGACATCTGTATTATAATTAGAGCTCTGTCTACTGTAAATATTGTCTTGATTATCAAGTGTGTTTTTTATTCGTCTTCTAATAGCCTCTGCAGTCAAGTGAGTACGATTTGTAATGTTCCTTTTCATAAATATATTGGAATGATGAAAGTATGACTTCACGTAATACACGGTGTGTCCCAAAACTTACCAGACTGATTTAATTACCCATGAAAGGCTGGCTCCATCTGTTGAGTTTGTTCCCGAGGGCACAACTGTCAATGGAAACTATTACGTGGATGTTTTGAAGCGGTTAGTGACAAGAATTCGAAGAGTTCACCCACAGTATCAAGAACAAGACAGTTGGTCGGTCACAAAGCCACTGTCGTTGGCGAGTTTTTGGCATCCAAAGTTGGGGTTCTTAATCACCCCCTTTGCTCGCCTGATTTGTCACCTTGTGACTATTTTTTGTTCCCTAAACTAAAACTGAAAATGAAAGGCACACGTTTTGATGACACCGGAGACATTCAAAAAGCTGCGACCGAGATCCTGGAGGCTGTCCCTAAGAAGGACTTTTAGCAATGCTTTGAAAAGTTTTATGATTGTAGTAAAAAGTGAATTACTGCAGATGGAATGTATTTCGAATAATATGCAATAAATCTTAATTACTTGAAGAAAGCATGTTTTTTAAACCATTCTGTAAAATTCTGGGACACTGTGTGAAATTAAACCTAACCTAACCAGGAAGGCATTCTATGACAGATATCACCTTTCAACAAGACAAGGCCATACTCTGTACTATAACTGTTGGCATTTAAAATAATAATATTGTGTTCAAAATATTATTTTTATTCTGTTTTGTCAGTCTGGTAGTTTTTAGCATTTTGGTTGCAGAACCTGAATGGAAACGACAGTTTTGGATTGAACATGGATTATGAAAATGAAGGGGTCTTCGAGTTGGAAGGTGTCCTGCTACTGGAACAGCAAATTCCTTTCAACCTGCAGACACCCAGCCCGATGCCAGCCTACCTCAACGTGCATTACATTTGCGAAAGTGCATCAAGA